CCAATGAAAAAAAAAAAGAGTCCGTTTTCTGCTGATGAATCACGCATCACGTAGATGAAGCCTGTCGGGGTCAGTTTGCCTGCTTGTGGTTTTTCACTGACACCTTCATACGTGCCTCCTCCGTCTCATTGGGGCAGAAAATGTCCCTGTGACGATACAGCTTCACAATAGAATCTTCCTGCTTTTTTTGCCGTTCGACAGGACTCGATAAGATGAGAGTGTCCTGGTGTGTTGTGTCTTACCGAGCTCCTGCGAGGGGCCTGTACGCTCTCTCCCATGGAGCCCGGTGAAGCCCACTAATATTCCTTAATGACGCGGCATCTGTCTCTGTCAGCCTACGCGCGGCAGCAGCCAGACGCGGCCTATTGTGGCTGACTTCACGGGGAGATAAGCAGTCCTCCCTTAGACACAGACGAAGGGACAATAATATCAACTCCAACGAAGACCAGCGAGAGAGTCAACAAACAAACCGCGATATGAAGTTGAAGCAGCAGACAAAAATCCTTTTTCATTTGTTGTCATTTTACTGCTTTAACTTCACTCTGCTATGACCAGAGAGACATCTTGAAAAATTCAAGGTTTGTGCAATAACACATTTTTTTTTTAAACATTTTATTCCACAATACTACTGATGTTGTGGAATTTCAGGGCTGGACTTGCAGAAAAGTGAGAGTTGTGGGATGTCTGAGTTCTGGGAGCGAGCTCAATCTGCATGTTTTCTGTGGTCTCGCCGCCCTCTGTCTTCCCATTTGCGTGTTTGCAGTAACACTGGAGCTCATAGCTAACGATGACAACGTGAGTATGTGTGACACGCACTGTATACCGGGGTGTAAAAGTGAGATTGCACACGCGTGCATCCGCGTGTCTCACTCTGAGTGCAATTTGTCAGCGTGTGCGTGACTGTCGGGACTTGCCAGATGAAGCATATTGGTCGCGATTTGGCACAGTGGCTTCTGTCATATCGCGAGTGTGTGTGTGTGTGTGTGTGTGTGTGTTAGCAGCAGAAGGTTTGATTGGCTGGCCGTCATTGGCACTCTGTGAAGCCACCTCTCCTCCTTCCCTGTGAGGATGACTGGCCGACACACAGAGCTGCCCGGGCGTCACAGCCTCCAGCCAACAGCACAACTGATTAACGCTGCTAAATTTCTCCGCAGCCTTTCCAGTCCATGAAGTATCATTCATCTTTACCAAAGTGATGGGGACCACTGAGCAGTCACATCCATTTTATTTCTATGCATTCTTTCCTCTTCCTTAAGTATGTTCTTTTTTTATGTTGCAAACATAAAGCTGACGTGTCTTGACAATGATAGTAGGACTTAACCATGCATGTGTACTTTTACTGGAAAAACAGGCTTTCAAGTCAATAAATGAATGCATTGTTGGGCGTTTGCTCCCTTTCGAGTAGCTTAATAGCTCTATCTGTCATACAGGTAATGAGAATGCATTTCTTAAGTACTGCATATACAACATATAGTAAGTACAATGTTAATGTACAGTACAGTACTAGAGATACTTACACTTAGTTGGAATAGAGAGTAGTTTTCCTTTCTTTACATCAAACCGATATACAATCATGCAGAATTCCCCCTATAATTCCCCATTATAATCCTAATAATAATTTTCCATCATTTCTTCTTAGTGTTTTTACTAGTTCATTTTTAAAGTACCTCTAAGCGGTTCGCTTCGACTCGAACACGACGCTCAGTAAAGTTCCACACTGCTTGTTTTTTTTTCGTTTTAATGCAGCTCCCACATTACCTGTGAGCGAGTCAAGCCCCGACGCCCTCAAATATAATTCCGGGCAGGCTGATGTGCGTGCGGCTCTTTAGCGGATGATGGTCACTCATCTCCTCAATCTCTGGTCCAGTCTGGTCCAGCACCACCAGCGAGCCGTCGGTCTGCAGCCGGCGCTCCACCACCCGGCGCTCATTGGCGCCGGCTGCTGCTTTCTGGGCCGACGCTCTGTGCGGTTGGCAGCACAGCTCAATCTTCTCCCAGAACGGACAAGGACCTCATCTGCCTCCTACAGGAGCTCGTAATAGGCCAACCTGTCAGATACGAGTAGGCCACAGTACTCTCTATCTCTACTCGTCTGTATTTTATTAGTCCACCTAGATTGATGCAAAGGCTCTTTTCAGGAAAACGTTCGCAGGGTTTTGCATGCAGAACGGCGTAGAAATCCAACATCCGTGCTATTTATTTGATACACGGTAGAAAAGAGTCTCTGGATGGGAGGACAAACAGGATACAGTCCACCGCTGTTACGCGTATTTACACAGAGGGAGAAGGTGCCCGCTCTGTATATGATCACCTGTTGGACTTACATTACAGGTTTATGATGAAAACAAAGTCTGACATCTTTATCATGGTAGAATTGGGTTCGTTATTCATCAAACACCACATCAGATGCTGCAATATTTCTAAAATTGTGCAGAGAAAGTTCCGTGGGACCCGACCAATACTCGTCAACGGGGGATGAACTGTAATCCGCTGTCTTTGCCTGGAACCACTATTGACACTGATGAGTCAGTTTTAAGAGATGCTCCGCTTTTATTTGGTGTGCGTTCACCAAGTGCCCCTTTGTTGCTGCAGCTTATTTTCATTCGTTTTGGACCACAGCGACGGTGGACGACTAAAACCGTCATTGGTTTGATTGCTCTATACTTTGAGGAGGTAATTAAGCATGGCACTTTCCAAAAAGGGTGTTTGATGATTGTAGTAGCAGAGACTGCACAATTTTACAGTACATTAAACTCATTTTTTACCCCTCAATATATAGGGAGAAGTAATGGAAGTCGCTTCACACATTTCTGTTTGAAAACTCTCAAACCTTTTCTCAAAAGGCTTCACAAAAAACTGGGCCGCGCTGCGAATTATGATGATTAGAATGTATTTGAATTCCACACATGTAGAAGTCTTACTGAACTCTGTCTTTGACTTTTATATTTTGTTTCTCAGCTCAGAGTTGAGAGCGCTCCGACTGTAATGTCCTGGAGACGGCCATGAATCTTCCGGACGGAGGCCGACCCAGAGAGCCCTGCCTCACGTGGAGGAAATGAATATTGATTTGAAAACAAATTTGACATGGCTTTTTAAATCGACTTGAAAACGCATTGCTCGAAAGAGTCAGAGGTTCGTAGTGCGTCAATGGAGCGGAGAATTCGTCGCTCTTGTTCTACGGTTTAATAAGATTCCATTAATGGCTTTTTCCACCTTGAGGAAAAGGACCTCTCGCTTCGTGTGTCTCACTGTGTGTCCCTGTGTGTGCGCGCACGTGCAAATGTGTCGATAAATTAAAGAACATAATGCGGGTACATTTTCCTTTGTCTGTGTGTGCGTTTCTTTGTGTGTCTGTGTGTGCGCACGGCCTGTTGCATTGCAGACTAATGACTTATTCAAGGCGAGTACTTGAAAACAGACAAAACTAAAATAATTGAACCACTTGTTTCGCCCCTCAAAACACATTACAAAGGAGGTTTTTACTTTTTCCCCTTGCGTCGTCGTTGTGCATGCCGATCCCGCCTTCACTTTTCACTTTGCGAAGCACTTTAAAGGGGTTGTTTGAAACTAAGCAGGCTCCCTCGTCCCTCAGAGGGCGGCCAAAATAAGACACCAGGCAATCTCGTCAGAGTGCTCCGTTGGCATGGTGTGAGTTTCTGGGGCCAGGTTCTGCCCGCTCAGTGGTCCGCTGGAGGGAAACTGCCTCTGGCCGCCTGCCCGGCTTTCTGCCCGACAGAGACAGATCATGTGGACGCCAGTGTTTTCGTTTTCCTAATTGCAGCACATCAACACATCAATCCGACTGATATCATTTTTCGAATGCGAGAGACGGTCACGTTGGTAGATGCGCCAATGTTTGTTTGTTCGGGGGTTTTGAGACCCTCGGACGACGCGCCGGTTTCAATCACGCTTGATCTAATTGACGTGGGTGCTGTCATAGAAAGACCTCAATAGCCGGGTTTAATTGATTCTTACCCCTAATCACATGATAAATCCAAACAAGGGCTTGATTATTGTCAACGGACCCGAGCGATCAGCGGGGAAAGAGCTACACGCAACCAAAGTAAATGCAAACATTTAAGCCTCACATTAAGAGATTTAAAAACACCCTAATTGCTGTAAAATATTTAACAACACCAGGCTTTTCCTGTTTTTTTTTCTTCAAAAGAACTGTACAAAATGGTTTTATGGTGTGAAAGTGGGGGCTGCGGTGTCTTAGGGCAGCAGGATAAGTGGTAATCCCCCCGGGTGGTGCTCCGTTGTAGACTACAGACCCCGTAGAGGCGGGGCCGCTGAGTCAGCAGCCTTTCCAATTCTTCCAGGGGGGAGTAGACTAATCTCCCGAGTACCTTCCTCTGTCAGCGGTCCAAGCATCTGTCGTTCTGCCTCTGGATGCTACTTTGCAAACATCCCGGTGCCTTGTGGCATCCCAGACCCATTTCTCTTGCTTGTTGGGTTTTCTGTGGTTTGTTTGGGTCCTACCTGACTTCCTTTCGTTAACGTCTCAGTAAGAATTGATTAATTGCTGTTTCGAAGTGAGTATTTTATAATCCCTCCTTTAAAGAAGGGATTACGGTCCTTCATAGGTTGCAAAAACTATCTTACCTGTTGGGTTTACAATTGCCGTCAGGAACCCATCGGAAATGTGTTTTTTTCCACCCTGTAATGATGGCTGCTTCCGTTAGTTCCTAAGAGTTAACATCGGGAAGATACAAGGTGTTCTCCCAGCAGTGAGGATCTGCTGGAGTTTGCATTTATTTAATTTGATCATGACTGCCAGGCTGCAGCTGGCTAGCTAAGTGCTTTGCCATCAGGGCCGTGTTCTGTGTTGAATTCCCCTGCAGTGCCGCGGCTTATGTGTATTGCGCCGGGCTGCGCGCTGCCTGCTTTACAGTAAATGTTTACCATCCCCGTGTGCTACCTCGAGAATAATCAAAGCGCTCCTCTGTGCTCTCCTTAATTAACTAATGGCTAATCTGACCGGTTTTCTCCTCCTGCAGATTTATAATGAGAAGAAGAGCCAGTTTGAAATCAAGAGGAACAGCCCGAAGGACTTGGTGGAGAGAGTGGCGCGGGACATCTCCAAGCTGCTCAACAGTAAGAGGAAAGCCCTGGAGGTAAGAGGAGGAAACAGGCAAACATGCACTGTATGAAACACAACACACACACCATGTAATCTATTACTGGATTGAATGTATATACATGTAAATAATCCTCATGCATGGAATACTATAGCAGTTTTTGGCCCAGCACTAGTTTGTTATTGTTTTTGTTTGTTATAATATCGGGGGCTTGTATTCCGAAAACATATAATTGTGTGGCGGATGTGAAAATATATTTATTTCAGAGGTTATCCTTTCAATGTCCTGCATTTTGGGGCATAATTATCACCGCGGTTCCACTCAGACAGCCCTGTGATTAGTTAAAATGTGTTCCACTCTCACGGTGGGGAACCTCTCACCCTTTGAGAAGAAGAAAGGCGGAGATGCAGAAGGAGGAAAGCGTATCGACAAATAAGGAAATGAGAATCGTGTACGCAAAAACCTTCTGACTTTAAAAAGCCAGTGATAAAGAAACGAAGCATTTTTGCTCATACTCAACATGTTGTCCACTTTTTAGTAGTTTCTCTCACAGTTGTGTTCAAATAATTTTCACATTTAATATTACAGGACATTTTGAGAGCATATAATTCCCAAATTACCTGATTAGAGTTTGCAATTATTTCTATTTAAAGCTGAATTTGTTCTTTATTTCCACCATGGCAGTGAGCCACTCCTTTTAATCAGTTTGGTGATTCTCATCATCTCCACCCACATAAACACACACAGCTGCACACACACGTACGTACACACACACTGATTCCTTTTAATCACTGTGATCATCTTTACCGTATCGTGCACCGGCGACACTCCCACACTGAAATTGTTGGGGCCGTAATGTTCTGACATATCATTAAAACTGGCCCTCCATGTATATATATATATTTAACAGGCAGATACATTAATATCACAAGATAATTTGATTAATTATACTGATCAGTGTATGCTAAATGTGAGTTTGAATTTGATCAAAATAGCACCTTATTTAAGATTTTTTCGAACACATCTTGAGCCCTATAAAGGGGCAGGAACATTTATCTTGTAAGAGCATGAGATCCTGTGGGAAGCAGCAGAAGTCTCTCAAAGAGGTTCATCCTCAAGCTTGGATTCCAAAAGGAAAGACAGCGTCACTCTTCGTCTCATGTGTAGGATCAGATTTGTTAACGCGTTGACCTTCCAACTCTGTTTTTTTTGGAGGAGGTGAGGCAGCAACATAACCCCCTTCAGTCCCTGCACTCAACACAAAAACACACACACACACACACACACACAGACCAAGCACAACCACCCGAACCTCGATGGGCATCACCCCGCGTCCCGTCTGGGAGATTCACTCGGGAGGGAGAAGATGAGGTTAAAAAAAAGAGAGGGCTGGAATGAGAATGTCTCCCTGGGGCGTGAAAAAAATGATGTTCACAAATTCATAGATTTAAAAATGAGCAGCAAGCGGCAGGGAAGGAAAGAAAGGGTGGTGGGTGGGTGTGTGGGAAGGAGGGGGGGGGGTCAGTTGTGAGGGAAAGAAGAAAGCGGAGCCAAGACACTGCAAAAGGGAGTCATTTTAGTATACAGCATTTGAAAAAATGTTGCAACAAGTTTATACATGTTTAATTAACGTTAAGTTCATTAAACAAACAATTCAAGACTGTAGGCTACATAATGGACGTGGAGCTATTATTCATACAGGCAGAGAAGTGAAAGCCGTGTCCTATCGCGGCGCGTAGATAAGAAGGTCTCAGATTGCGCTCAGCGCGGTTCTGGTGCCGTTCTTTATTTCTGCCTGGTTCTGCCCGCTGTAGTAGCTGTTTGGACCTCTGGATTCCCCCCCCACACATCACAAAAAAGAGGAATGGCGTATGTGCATGCGGTGTTAACAGACGTCTGCGTGCATGCAAGAATAAATTATTCTTCCTCAACCTCTTTAATTGCTTGGGGTGATTCGTTGTAATTCATGTTTATATTACTAACGAGAAAACACACATTGACTGTGAAGACTCAGTTACTGATGTAACACGGGAAGCATTTCTTTAGCGCTCAGGAATTAGTGGCTTTAGCCTTCATTTCCAAATTAGAAGTACATTTTAATAATTCAAATACTCTGTTTATTTGGAGTGGGGTTGATAAATCTCCTGTAGGCGAGCTTTCACTTGTTTAGTTGCGTGGGCTCACGCTCTGCGTTATTACAACGACTGAAACACAGTAATCGCGAAAAGACTTAATTATCCCAAAGGGTCTTTTTGTATCATGCAATTGGTCTATAATTCCCTCATTTGGTGTAACTGATAAAAGCGATGTTTACTTTCTTTAACGCAGCAAACCCATATCTTATGGAGGCAGTAAGACGACTATGTTTTCGTCGAGAGCCGAATGTTTATTATTTTCCTTCCATTGTCTTAATCTCCTCCACTCCATGTCTCTGTCAGCTCTCTCGTTCTCCTTCTGTTTACTCAAACAATAATCTGATTCTCAGGCTGGTGCCAAAATTAAAATATAACAAAACCCCCCCGGTTGGCTGACAGCCGCGCGCGTAGCCGCTGGACACTTTGTTTGAATCTCTTTGTTTCCAGAGGCAGGTTGAAATATGATTCAGGACGGCTTCCTCTGATGTTCACAACTTGAGCTCGTTCCAGAGGCCCTGTGAGTTGCAGCTGATCGGTGCCCTTTGTCCAATGAACACTTTGAGCAAGGAATTCAAACAGTAACCATCAATGATCCACATCACATGGTAGGACGTTGCTTTTTATCAGTTGAATAGCTATACATTTGTCAGTTGTCCGGTTCAGCGACTAAACTTGACTTGTGATTTCCAAGAAGTTTCCAGAAAATTTGAGATTTTTCATTTTGAAAAAAATAGGAGGGTTATACTCGTTTTTTTCCAACCACTTTATTCCAATAGGTATCTAGTTTAATCCTGATGTGCTTTAGTGCTTTAGGCAATCCATAGCCGGTGACGCTGAACATTCAAATATGTGAAAATTGTGATACAGTTTAACAATATATGGAGAATAACGTTTGAACGTTTGTACAACTGTCAAATACACACAGGACAAGACATTACAAGACATTTACAGCCCTGCATCCTAACGAATGGGAGCAGTGAGCTCCCGTAAAGTGCTCGGGGATCAACATGGGGTTCAATGTCTCGCTCAGGGACACTTTAACATAAAGACATTGAACCGTCAACCTCAAGGACAAGCCGCTCTACCTCAAGAAACTGTTCAGAAAATATTTAGAAAAGTACTGAAAACATGAACCTGAATTATTATAAGGGAGAGAAAACCTGTTTTTTTTAATCTCATGTCTTATCTAGATTTAGACGACTATGAAATCACTCAAATCATAAAAATTTTGCTTAATCAACTACTAATATCGGTAAAGGCATTTCAATGTGTTCATTCATTAATCCAATAAATATCTGTTTGGTTTAAACTCTTCGGAAAACGCATTGCATTTATTCTAAGGCGAATGTCCAATGCCAATGCGGTGAGTGCAGGTCTTAAAGTGGTTTTCCCTAAATGTGGTGTATAGCAGAGCGTGCTGGTGGTGGTGGCGGCTCTGTGAGAGGAGGGCGCTTGCCGTCTGCATGTTCCTCCGCGTACAGACTCTCCCTGATGGGTGGTATCGGAGCACCAGGCTCCCACCTGAGCGACGATACGAGGGGTTTTTGTCTGTCCTTTTGACCCAGAGAGAGAGAACACAGCCCTGCGCCGACTCCTGTCATGTGCATGAAGCCAAACGGGTGCGATAGACCTCCCGGAGCTCATCTGAGAACACTTCCCTTCCTGCGTACCTCTTTGTGATGCTCCATATCGAGGCCCGCGTTGATCAGTCGGGCCCCTCGGAAGCGTCGGAGGCTGCACAAACATCCTGTACGCTGTCAGTCAAAGCCAGGCAGGAGTTTGGGCTGTCAGTCAGGCTTCTGCTGGGATTTTCCCGCCCCGGGGAGGGAAGATGAGGCTAGGAGCTACAGACGGAGATCATGTTGCATTTCCATCAGCAGCACTACGATTGTTAAGGCTCTTAGGTTATGATTTCACAAAGGGAACCGGGGGAACAGAGAGGGGACTCAGGTTGATCTAATCCAATTACACAGATCTCAATACTATTCCAATACTACTTAAAGGCTGAACGATGAGTGCCTCTGGTCTACTCACTGCTTGATGTATGTACACATCCGGCACACTAATAGGTTTCTTATTGCAATGGTTTGAGGGACAAAGCCTGGTTGAATGTTCCAATAACATTACAGAAAGGAAAGGTACGGAAAAGTAACACAGGTGGATGCAGCAAACGTCCACGTAATGATGATAAAGCGGAAATGTGACACAATAAACACGATAAACTTCTTCCAGAGACTGCACTCAAGTGTTCGAACTCTCTCCTTACCGTGTGTCTGGATAAACTCCAGATAAGACCCAAGAGGCCAATCTTGACATTCAAATTGATTTATGACCTACGGGACCTTCCTGAAGGCTGACCCTATGAGGTGCATCCACATCCCTAAAGAAAACCACGTCCGTCCTAAAATGCACATCTCGCTTTCATTCTCAGCAGAGGAGGTTGCATTAGTTGCAATGAAAATACCCAAATGCAACTGCAGGCTACTTTTATTGGCGAGTTCACCTGATTGCTGTTCTTGTGATATTTCTCTCTTTTTGTGACCGGTTACGCTTCACCCTCCCGGCTTGTGTAGATTGACGCCCACACACTTTCGTAATTCGCGACTCCTTATTGTTACATTTGAAGCGCACTATGGGGTCCCCCTGGTGGCCATGGGCAGGACAGTGGGCAGGTTCCGTCTCAGGAAACACAACAATGTCCCGAGACGTTTTGCGGTCTTGCCGATAGCGATGGTGAGAGGTAACCGGGGAGCTCGGACCGGACACCGTGCAGGGGCGACAGAAGTGTGCATGACAGAATTAATCAATCAGACCGCGTGGGCCTCCCGTCTCCTCCTGACCGCGGAAAACCAAGGCGACACAGCCGGGTCAGGGACGGGGAGGGACGGGCCGCTCCGAGTC